ACATTTGCAATTATAAGCATGATGTTGCAGCTTTGTTTTTGTTTCAAAAGAAGAACAGCGAAAAAGTTGAAAATCAAAACATTCTTTCGTGTTATTTTGTTTTAATTAATAAAACAGCAGCAGCAGTGATAGTAAATGTAATAATAAGCAATCTAAAAAGAATGATTCAAAAGCTCTATTATTATTTATCGCTTGTTAGCAGCTTGCTTGCCAGCGTCCTATCGTCGATTATTTGCGTTTTCTGGTGGGGTTTCTTAAAAGTAGGTCTAGTCCACTAGGTATATGGGACAGGTTGGCCTCCACCGCAATTCGCCATGTACTGAATTTATTATAAGTAATTTTATTATTACTATCTGCTATTATTATTTGACGACTGACGCATTTAGAATACATACATGCATACATACATTCGTACTAACGTAGGTTAGTAATCGTTTTTTGGTTACAAATACGCATACTATCATATTTTTACACGTGTATATATGTGTGTGTATGTGTATGCAGGCTTATGAGAGCAATGAAGGCTTTGACCTTCGAACCGCGATGCATTTTCGAATTATTTTTGGGCGAGGTCGAATGGTAGGGTACTTAGGTGCGATTACTATCACCAATAATATAATTGTAAGAATAAGGGCCTAGCCAAACTGTAAAATAGTTTAAATATGAGAATGTAAAAACCTTGATTTAAAGCGACCACCCCATTTGTAATCACTGTAATGTAAATTGGTGCTCTGAATTTGGCCGTCTGATAGAGGGGAGGGGACCCGAAGGGTCAAGGGTCCAAAGCTTTTTCTTCAGTATGAGTATTTAAACATATACATACATTATAATCTATAAGAATCGACATCTCAATCATTAAAATCGGTTAAGAATTAGCCACAATCACCTAGTCAATATTGGTCAACTTTGGTGGTGGCATTACCTTCCCTTCCCGAGCGGAAAAACCAAAAATTGTCAGATATAAATTAGATACCCCCTTTTGCATCCAGCACACTTTTTCTCTGATTGGGTAATAGGCAGTGCCAGAAAAAGAAAAACAAACAGCAGCAACAATAATTTAATAGGTGTAACAAAAAACCTATCTAATAAAAATTGGAATTAAGATTGTATTGGGATAGGTCGTTTGTCCTAATTTGTATTATTTATTGATTACTACACTAAATTATTTGTTATTTCGATATAGTTCTTGTCTTTACCATTTCTCATTAACAATAATACATCAATAAGTAAATAATAATAATAAAAAGTCACTTGGAGAAGTTTCGCTAAATTTTATTACGAACTCGATGTACATTTCGCCTTCTTAGGGCATCTTCAGGAGTATTATTAAGTACTAAAGTTTCGGTTAAGTACAAAATTTTTTTTCATCGATATGACATTTTGGAAATGAAAAAAGCAATTTCTTTAAACAAAAAACTAGCTAATAATCAACTAGAGTTCGGTAACAACCCCCCCCTAGATCCTAAGGTTAATAATACTCCTGAAGATGCCTTAAGAAGGCGAAATGTCCATCAAGTTCTTAATAAAATTTAGTAAAACTTCTGTAATTGTCTTTTTATTGATTAACTTGATTCTTGATATGTGTGACCATTAGTTTTTAAGAAATTTGCAATTTCTTTGAAATCTTCTATATGATGCCTTATGAAGTTAATCATTTTAAAAAGTTTAAAGTGTATAAATGATCGATGATTTCGGTTTAGTGACTCACCCTGTATACCTATAATTATATACTTGTATCTATTATATTTATTACTCGATATTGTGGTAATAGTGTAATAATTTATAATCGAAAATTAATGGGAAAACTTTCTTTTCGAACTAGCTGTGGGTATAGGTAAATGAAGAAATAATTATTACAACAGTTGGGTTCTTTTCTTATTAGGTACTGACATAAATTACAATTACATGCATTCAATCAAGTGTATTTGTGCGAGTTATGTTACTGTCACTGGTTGTTAATCGAAGTTACGAACAATAAAAACGTTTACGTACGAATGTAATGGATTTGCGAGCGTGATTGTGAGTGGTTTTGCCAAAACAAATGGTGTTTTTGAAAAGTAAAATTCTGTCTTCGGGTAAGTTTTATTTGCAATATATTTACGTACTTAATAATGAGAACTGGGAGATGAGCGAGTTGATTTGCCCCTCATATCCAACCCCATTCGTTATTGGAGTTTGACACATCAAAAACAAAAATAACTCTTTGAATAGAATCATGCATTCAACTGTTTACCAAACGTAGAAATAAAATTGAATATTTCTTGTTGAAAAACATAACTTTTAATAGCAAGTTCTTTGGATAGATAATGTTAGAAATGAGGAGGAAGTCAATAAGAAATAGGTGAGATAGGTTTATAGGAGCCATTAAAGGCTAGTTATAGACATATTAGAAGCAGAAACAGAAGTTAAGAGCAGTAGAGGTAGACCTAGATTAGATTACTGTTCGCAAATAGTTAAGGATGTGGGATGTTGTAGTTTTAGGGAAATGCGATGATTAATTCAGGATAGAAAAGGGTGGAGGTGTGCTTCCAACCAGTCTTAGGACTATAATGACCCTATAATGATGATGATAATAATGCATATTAGAATCTAAAGACAGGCGACCATGTGATGATGATGACGACGATGACGCTGAATTTTAGTTTTGCAATCCTACACAAAAAAATTATAAAATTAAAAGGATTGAAATAACTCGAAATTTTGAAAAGATTGTTCTGTTAATGAAGTATTTGATGATAGAGAACGAAACCATCATGGGTGTGACTCAATCTCGTATTACTTGACTGGCTTTTTAGAGGACCCTGCTAGATTCTTACGAAAAATGGCCTACTGTTTGAAATATTGGATTCTGGTAGTCCTCGACGTGTAGGTCATAAATCCTAATAATTCATCTTTGTGAGATATGGTTCCTTAAAGTTGCACTCTTCCCTAAGGACTCCCGAGGTTCAGTTATACCTACGATACGTATGCCAGTATTGTTAGATTAATATGAACATTGAATCATCATCATAAGGTCGTCAATCCTAAGACTGGGTGAACAAGCACCTCCACTCTTTCCTATCCTGAGCTAATGTTCGCATTTCCTTAAAACTGGAACATCCCACATCCTTTTAACTATTTGTGAACAGTAATCTAGATCTACCTTTATTCCTTTTAACTCCTGTTTCTGCCTNTTCTTTTTTTTCTTATTTTTATTTCACGTTGTTACGCAAAGCTTGGAATTGTGGCCCAATTGTGGGCCACAACACCTAGTCACTAAAATACGTAATACCTTATGGTTTGTTTCCAAATCAAAAAGCAAAAGTTTGGTTTCTTATTTGTCATTAGTACCTACTTGTTGTACCTCGGCCACTAACTATTGCTTTGCTTTTCGGCAATGGTTCATAATGGGAAATTAATAAAGAATCCCAAGATTTTCGGAAAAGTCTTTACAACAGCTGAATTGTTTTTCGATCTGAAGATACCTAGCAGCGTTTGATAACAAACATACAAATCTGTAATACAAATCATTCTAAATCAAAAACAAAAGCTTGGTTTCTTATGTGTCATTAGTACTAGTAGACACTAACTTTTGTTTTGCTTCTTGGCAAAAAGCTTAAAAAAAGTCTGTACAATAACAGTTGAATTGGTTCTACATTTTGATCGTTTGATANATCACCGTCCATGTTTCGCACCCGTACAGCACCGCGCTCCAAACATACACCTTTAACAATCTTTTTCGAATTTATATATTAACCGTTCGCGAACACAGAAGTGACTTCTTTTTATTGAAGGCGACTCGATCCTGCTTTATATTCCTACTACTCCTTCCGTCCTGACTTATCTGACTTCCTAGATACCTAATCTTTCGTCTCCTATCTTTTTATTCGCTGTTTTTCTACATTTTCTTCCCTTGCATACCGGTATTTTTGTTTTACTTTCATTTATTTTAAATAGTAAATAAAAAATCTTTCGTCTCCTATCTTTTTATTCGCTGTTTTTCTACATTTTCTTCCCTTGCATACCGGTATTTTTGTTTTACTTACGTTTATTTTAAATAGTAAATAGTATCTACTTCTAAAGAAAATGAAAAAGATATGAAATTTTGTTACCATTGGATTGTTATTAGTAATTTCTTGAGACATACTCGAGGGGGTTGAAACAATAATGTAGAAACTGATAAACCTTTTACTGAAGTAAATCCAGCGTTGCCTGCTTCTTAATAGGTTTGAATGTTTTGACTGACAAGCGAACTAGCTCCTAGAAAACATTTATAAATATATTACAAAGGAAAATTGTCGAATTTAAAAATTTTTGTGATTTTAATTTAATTTAATCCACAATAGTGGTTAATAGAGTCATTCAGGGGTAATTAATTCCAATATTATTATTATTATAAGATGAAACAAATCAATAACAAAAAGTTTTTGTTCTGTTTTCGTACTCCTGGGTTGCTTCATACAAGGGTAAGTAATAAATATGTATAATATAATTTTTAATACTTATTTAATTGATGCTCGTTGAATTCGTAAACTAGNGTTTTTTTTTTTTTTTTTTGAATATTCTGACTGTTCCCTTTCTTGACCATAATCGTGGAGGGCATGACGGTGTCTTGACGTAGATTGTGTTTTTTTTGGAGATGTTATTGGACATGGAACAGCATTCGACTTTGCTGTCCCTGAACCCGTTTAACGGCACGAGTTCCACGGGATCTTCTTCGGCGGCTGTGACCGTTTCGGCGGTGACTTCGGCCCTTCAGGCCTCGAGTCCCATGCCGCCCCCTCTGTACGGGTCGCCGCCCCTCGGCGGCGTCTCCTCGTACAACATAAGCAGTTGCAGCCAGCAGAACATGGTGCTGCAACACCACCAGCAGCAACACCAACAGCAGCAGCAGCACCACCATCACCAAGATCATCCCCAACAGCAGCAGCAGCACCAACACCACCACCATCATCCCCATAACAGCTCGTTAATGAGCTACGGCGCTATGAGTAATATGGACACTTATTTGTTTTCCTCAGGGGCAACGGGATCGCTCGCTGGGATGGACCTGATGGCGGGATACCAGCTGCCGGGCAACTCGGTGGTCGGCGGAGGCGACCTTCCCGACACCAAGGACGGAATCGAGGAGTTGTGTCCGGTGTGCGGGGACAAAGTGTCGGGTTATCACTACGGCTTGCTTACGTGCGAGTCCTGTAAAGGGTTTTTCAAAAGGACCGTGCAGAACAAGAAGGTGTACACGTGTGTGGCCGAACGGAGCTGTCATATAGACAAGACTCAACGGAAACGGTGTCCGTACTGTCGGTTTCAGAAGTGTCTCGATGTCGGCATGAAACTAGAGGGTGAGTCATTTTTTTTTCTTTTCTTTTTTTTCTTATTTTTATTTCACGTTGTTACGCAAAGCTTGGAATTGTGGCCCAATTGTGGGACACAACACCTAGTCACTAAAATACGTAATACCTTATGGTTTGTTTCCAAATCAAAAAGCAAAAGTTTGGTTTCTTATTTGTCATTAGTACTTGTAGACACTAACTTTTGTTTTGCTTCTTGGCAAAAAGCTTCAAAAAAGTCTGTACAATAACAGTTGAATAGGTTCTACCTTTTGATTGTTTGATAAAACAATCGATTGAAACAACTCGATTTGACGTTCTTCTGTTAAATTTTACTTAAAAAAAAATAAAGACCAAGTGCTTGACCCTTATTTGATTGCCTCTTGAAATGTATCAGAAAATTTTCTTTCTATCTGTTCAATATCCATAAGCGTCAGGAACCCCTCCGTGGAGGATAACTCGTGTATCAACAAAAATGTTTGGTATTCGCCCAATAAAATACAGCATAGAATTACTTGAATGTTATCTGTCAATTCAAAAATAAATAATTCCGATAACGCCCAAAACAGGTACATGAAGATATCATGGAAAATCTTCACCTTGCCCAAAATCTAAACAAACCGGATCCTTCATTTGTTAATCGTTCTTGGCCATATTCTATCATATAGATATTATGTTAATTAGTTATAATTAGTGATTAATTAGAGTACAAATCGAAAAAGCACCCGTTTGCACCTGATCAAGAGACTGCTGCTTGTTGCTTGCTGCAGTTTTTCTTTCTTTACTTGTTCGTAAATAGTCTGTTGATTGAATAGGACAAGTAGAAAAACTTTGTGGTCGGAATTGTAAAAAGCAAACGCTAATGTATAAAAACGCCCGTTTTTACTAGACACTCTGCCAAATGGGCCAAGGCCATCCGAGAAACCTATAAACCGCAAGCAGCAACGTTGCCGCCAGCTTGACGATATTTATCGCCTTTAGTCTAATATCATGATCAACTACCTCAAGTATTACTACGGTTTGTAGTCGTGTCTACGTCTACAAAGGTGTCGGATGACGTAGAAATTAATAAAAAAAAGATTGTCTTGTTTAACCCAATTTTCAAAATTACAATGCTCCTAGAATTTCTGGGGTCTTTGGTCGGTTCTTTTGGCGAACTCTTACCCGAACATACAAATATTAAAAAATTGTTAATTTTGTATTTGACTTATTTTTGATCACTTCAATTGTTAGGTAATAACAGTTGCCCCAGAAATGCGATATTCTTCTGATAGGTAACAGTTCAATATTTATCACTAATTTCTGGTGTAGTCATTTTTCACTCTAAATGATATTACGTTTTAGTCGATAAATAGTTGATTAAAGGGCAATGATTCATGCAAAAACAAAAAGAAAACGCGTTTGTTGCACTTTGCGTTATGCATTTTCGCAGACGTAAGTAAAAAACAAATGAAATCGTTGACGTGGACGTAGCTGGTGGACCCCCAATTTTAATTAAAAATTCGTGTTTGTCGGTTGTTTAAAAAAAAAAATTGAAACGGAAAATAAAAGACAATAGACAAAATTTATCGCCTCAGCTGCCGGTTTTTGTTTTATAAAGTAAATGTGTAAATATATTTTTAGGTTTGGTTAAAATTACAACGCTTAATAATACATGCACAAGCACATACGTATTTATATTAACGATGCTTCTAATTTTGAAGCATTCTTTCGAAAGACCACAAGTGTACGGTTGTCAAAAAAAAAAAAAAACAAAACGTGCAAGCGTTTAAAACGACGCTGTGACAAACTGTCGGAGACATGCTTTATTACAGACGAAGTCCTACAATAGATCTAGGGTGAATATTATGTGACGAGTGTGTATGAACCGACGTCTGTTTAAACTTTAATGCATAATAATCAGAAATACTACTTTTAGGGATAAATTAAATCCATTGATAAATCCCTAAAATTATCTACGATCGCGTAGGCGTGTAGTATTTGACTTTGCGACTATTTTGCTGACTATCACACCGTAGGTTCTGTGTTTGCAACGTTAGAGCAAAAGTTGCGCATATTTTGAAAAATTTAACTTTCGCTATTGCCACTTGTGCAACCGGCTGTGGGTGAGCAAGTCTTAATCCGGGCTCTCCATTTATTGGGCAACTGCAATAGAACACCTAGCGCTCTTACTTATCTCTTTGCCAGGTATTTTGCTTGTAATTTTATTATAAATTTTGTATTCATTATAAAAATGGACCTTTTTATCAAGTAGGTAGTTAGGTAGATACCTCTTGTAACTACCAGACAATCGAAAGAAAATGAGAATTCTTTTAAACTACTGGAAAAGCTCATTCCAATGATGCCCCACATGTTATAGTAACAAGTAAAAAAATTGCAACCCCATTTGATATATGGTTTAAAAACCTTGTTGAAACGTCCCAGTCTATTTTTTGTGGAAACTCAGAAAGGTTTGAGGAGCTCGGAGCGATTACCAGGAGACTTAACGTCTACAGAAGCTCTAACTAATCAGAAACAGTTTAGGAAACGTCGAAGATGTTGGGAAAGCTAGAAATGGTCAAGGGTACGTGAGAGAAGCTAAAAAAAGTTAGGAAAATGCCAGAGAAAGTCGGAGTAATCAAGGATTATCAAAGAAATATTACGTAACTTTAGATTTGAAGTTCCGAGTGAAGAAGAGAATGATAAAAGAAGCTCAAAGAAGCTAGTGAAATGTTAGAGGATCTTAAAAAGAGGTCAGAAAAATGTTAGGGATTCCTAGTGTGGTTATGGCAATGTCAGATACGCTAAGATGGGTTTCAGTAACTTCTAAAGAAGATGAAACAAATGTGAATGGCAGTTTGAAGAGGTTTATAATGATAATGGAAACTGAGAATGACCAGATAAGTGTTAGAGAAGCCTACAACAGTTAGGGAAAGATCAAGTGTGTTCAGGATATTGCTCAGGGTAATCGGAGTATCCAGGAAAATGTCAAGTGATGCTTCAGAAAACCATATAGAGATCAGGGAAGGTTATAATGGTCAGAAGCATATTAAATAAACTCCACAAAAGTTGAAGATTGGAAAAACTTTGGCAGTTGTTATAGAACAATGAAAATAGCTCAAAACCCCAACGCCAAAATACGACACTGTAGTTGTCCGAAGCACTTTTCGGTAACAAGGTTACCTTCTTCAGGGAAGTGAACTCCAGAAGGTAACCTTCTAACCGAAATGTGCTTCGAACAACTACAGTGACGTGTTTTGGCGTTGAGGTTTTGAGCTATTTTGTTTGTTCTTCCACAAAAGTTAGAGAAATGTCAGGGAAATTGGTATCACGAAAGCTCAGGTCGATGTGTTGATATAAGAATGTCTTAGAATTTTGGAGTGAATAAAATACTGTTAGGGAAAATTCAAAAGGTCAGGGAAATTGAGAGGTATCAGAAAATTACGAGAATGTTAGGGAAACGACAATAGTCGAAAATATCAAGAGTGCTCAGGAAAATTCTCAGGGCGATCAGAATGATCAGAGAAGCGTTAGGAAAAACCTCGAGATGCTTCAGGAAAACTTATACAGATTAGGGGAAGTTATAGTGGTTAAAAGTATATTTTATAAACTCCAAAAAGGTTAGAGAAATGTCAGGGAAATTGTTATCTTGAAAGCTCAGATCGATGTGGTGATATAAGAATATAAATAATTAGAATTTTAGAGTGAAGAAGAGACAATTCAAAAAGTCAGGGAAATTGAGAGGTATCAGAAAATTATTAGGGGTTCTAAGAATGGACAGAGAAATGTCAAGGATACTCAATACGGTCATCACGAAAATGCCAGGAAAACCCACCATGATCAAGTGAATTTCAGGGAAACTCAGGCAGATGGGGGAACGCTAAGGGTTCTTAAAACAGTTGAGAGTGCTCAAAGAAAAGAAATATCTATGAACATACTAAAAATCTTTCTTTAAATTCGTGCTTTATCTTTTCCTTGGTATGCAAATACATATTTTAAATGAAAGAAATGATACACATAAATTCGTTTTTCGTGCCTATTGTTATTATTAATTGACAACCCCTAATAACTAGACCGTTCTTTTGTTTCGTTTCCGCCCCTACCAAAGACGTTTAATCGATAGCTGTGACATACACGGTTACAAAAAATGGAAAAAAAAATTTTAATGCATTATTCATAAAGAAATGCCACTTTTTCTTGTTACCATTACTATAGTTTTCCATCTTCGAATCATGCATCACTTTTTATTATTCCGTCAAGTGTGTGCTTTTTTTTACGTGGCCTTGACTCGTTTCAATAAATTGCCGCATCAAGTTCGTTCGAAGTTCAAGGACATTTATTTTGTTTATCCCTCGAAATAAAAAAGCTTGCGTGTTATCATTTGTTATCGTTTGTTAGTCCAGTGAACTTGCACCTGGAAGAAAGTTGCTGAATAACCAAATTAATTGTTTAAATAAAATTGTAATTAATTGTTCTCGATGTACCGAGTGTTTAAAATATTTTAAACAGAGCAAAGTCAAAGAAACATTGCTAAACAATTGAAGTAATTGTTTAAACGTTATTACGTTATTGTTTTGTCATGGCTTAATATACAGAGTGTTTACAACCCTTTAAACTGGATAAAGGTAAAGCAGTGACATATTAAAGTTTGTGTTTAACTCCAACAACTACTATATTAGCTTTGAGATCATTTAGCACCCCTCGCTGAAGTACCTAACCCAATTTAAACCCTCTCCGCTGCTACCCTTCTTTATCCAAGCCTTTTAACAATACACGCATTACAAAAGAGCCGCCCTTAATGGAGATACATCCATACATGTGTATATTGTGTATAGAGGACCTGTTGCTTTCAACCCTTATTAGTCACTTTCTGTTTGAGTATACTATCCAGTTTTGTAAAGTCATGCATCCTCAATATTATCAAGAAGGAAAATGAAATATGTTTGGTGATTTTTTATAGAAAAATTTTTGTTTACAACACGAAAACTGCTTGACAAATTTTTATGGCGTTTTCGCTGTTGTCAAGAACAGTTTGTCAGAAATTGACGGAAAACAGATTAAGGATGTTTGGGAGGTATGTCGAAATGCTACGAGACAAATAAAAATTTGGAAGAACGTTCCTNGCATACCGGTATTTTTGTTTTACTTTCATTTATTTTAAATAGTAAATAAAAAAACAGATTCTATCGTAATGTCTGATTACACTTTAAAGTATACCAATTTTCCCCATAAATTCGCCATCCTTGGTCTGAAATACTGATGCATCCAATACGTATATACTTAATAGGTATAATTGTACTTTCGAAGTCCTTAAGGAAGGATGCAACTTTACGGGACCGCCAAAAGTTACAAAAAGTTTAACAAAGTGTCATTTTCCGTAAGGATGTAGCGGAGTCCTTTATTTGTAATAATATCTGTGCCACAGAGAACGGGACCTCTAAACGATGTTGAATAAATAATAAAATTGTTGTTCATCGAATTGTACTTAATAGTATCTAATATTGTAACAATTTTTACCGGTTCACCGTTATATTTTAGAGGTTACTTACTTACATGAGTAAGTATTCTTTGAAAGCTAACTGATAATTGTTTATGCAATTTAAATAAATAATAACAAGAAAATTAAGAAGCTTATTGTTCAAGGTGTTCAGGTAGGTTTCATACTAAGCTACAGATGTGTACAAGAAAATTAATTCTATTTTTGTTCGAAAAAACCGAATGAAGGAGCGCAGCCTTGCGTTTTAAGGCTAACAACGAATTAAATTTTTCGGTTTTCTTTTTTATTTACATATAAACACTCACTTAATTGTGTACCTAACTGAATTAATTTAAATACGTTTGAATGCCGTCAAGTACAATATTAATTAGTTGATATTACGTACCGTTAAGGGACGACAAATAAAAAAAAAGGATATTGAAAAACAAAATCGGGCCAGCTTTTTTTGTTTTTCATCACCAGCGAGCGAGATGACTTTCGATTAATGAACTGGGACACCTCAAATAATCGCCCTGTATAATTGTATCTATCGGTAAAATTAATCAATAGATTTTGCTACTGTTATTCATGAATTTGCATTTTGCCCTTGAACTACTTATTCGTCGACAACCGTAGTCGTACTAGAATAAAAATAAAATTATGCTATTAACATATTTATACATTTAAATGTACAGGGTGGTCACTTTTTGATAGGATCCATGTAGTGATGGGCAAAGCAAGACTGTCCCTTTGGTTTTGGTATTGTTAAAGTTGAAATCTAGTAAAGCAAACTAAAAATTTCATATACTAAAAATGTTTTGCTCCAAGAACATATTAAAGTTGCTTCAAACACTCATAAATCCACTGAAAGTAATAATTTTTCGTTTTGTCTTGCATATTTAATCTTGGTCTTATTCGTTGGGTTTATTTTCTGATTTTTATCTTTGATATTATCCAATATCTATCGCCTATAACGTACCGGCATCGGATATTACAACATTTAAATACGGTTGTAAAGACCAGATCTTACCGACCCCTTCAACAACGCCGTTATAAACGATATCTACTGTACATTATATGCGGTTTTGTTTTGTTCCGTGCAATAACACGTACGTATAGTGGGCTCGTCGAATCGCGACAAGAACCGACAAGTGAACGCTATTCCATTCGATCAAGTAAGCGGCGGCGTTTTACGACAAACAGCCTACTTAAACGTGATGTAATAATAAGAACGGCGCAAAGGTATGTAAGTAACACACGAACACGAAGATAGGCGCGCTTACACTTGCATACAAAAGCGTTGTCGCTGTCGCCCGATCAGATTCACTTTTGTTTGACTCGGTAGTAGAAAGTTGACGTAACGTAAAAAAAAAAGCAACGGACGACAACAATAAGAAGACGCAAAAAGAAGTGGTAAGATGAAACAAAGGATAACGCAATACATAATAGTTGTTCGTACGTATGTCAATGAAATGTAAATTCACTTTCGTCTAGCGCCCCAGATTTTAATGCTCGCGACACTCTCGATTGTTTCTTCTTCGGGTTTTTCTTTCGTGGGTCGTACAGACCAGTAGGAAGCCGTCTAATCAATTGTTTCTTTCTTTTTTTTTTTTTGGAATGTCAAAATTGCTGTTGTTTTCCTTTTGATCGCCCTGTAGGTGCATGGAACAAGGTAGTCGAAAATTATTATTTGTTATTAGGAGGTCGATCTTCTCAGAATTTTAAGTAAGGTTTCGGAGAGGCCAATAAATGATTTTTGTCCTGTTATATTGCCTTGTGTAAATTGTACACCCCATCGTAAAATAGCGGTACCATAATTCGATAACCCTCCAAATTGGAGTAAGTAGTCTAAATGGAAGACTTTAGGAGGAGATGAAGTTAGCATTTCTAAAATTTTATGACGGTATTATGGTCGTAAAATTGGGTAGAAAGTCATGTGCTACCAGAGATTTTATTATGCTGACATATAATACCGAAAGGCCTAACGGAATTGTGTGAAATTTGCCTTCTCATATTGGCCAAGCATTTGGGGCAGCGGTGGTCATTTTTAAAATTCATAGGGATATTTTCACTAACAGGACTATTCCAGCAATTTAAGGGGTGGAAAATGTTTTATTTAATTAACTGATTAATTTAATCGCTTGAATAGTCCTGGAAGGGAAGAAATACGAAGGTCCAATTTTGTCCAATTTTTTTTCTATTACTTACTAACTAACTGCTAACTGCAGTTGTTAATTGTCAAAAAATTTTCTGCTTTCTATCTTCGTTAATTATTTAATTACACTGTCGAATGTCAATAACAAATACAACTCACCTTCGACCAATTGTTTCTTTCGGTTGACCTATGTAATGAAAAAGGAACATCTAAGGTCAGATAGTGAAACTCGCGTACGGTTTATAAAAAAATATTGTCTAAATGTATGTACTTATAGCTACAATCAATGTAATATGCAGCCGATTTTTATTATCAGTTGTCAAGATCAGTTAATTTTATATTAGGAGATGCGGACTTAAGAAATGGTAATTAAATAAAACATAATAAAATGGGGGATGATGCATATGTAAGATATAAAGGGGTGACTCAGACTCAGTACTCCGTCTGTTGGTTTGCAAAAAATAAAACAAACGACGGGGAATTCCCCCGTTCCCTTCGGTAAGCGAGCACAGGAGTTGATCGATCCTCAGAATTGATTGGAATTTCCAAAAATTTAGATAATTTTTTATTTTTTAAATTCACAATATTGTCCAATGTCTTCAGTGGGCGCTGGAAACGTTTTATATCCATCACGAAATCCAAAAAGCCCATATATAGATCTGCCCATATCAATAATATAGAGAATGCATAGTTTTGAACCATTTGGATTTCTAAAAACTCCCTGTACCTAGTTATGTGTATTTTAGGTTCAGATGCTGCATTCGGGCAGGTGTTGATATAAGTAAATTAGCAAATCCCGATTAAGACGATTATTTAGGCATCGATTTATATAAAACTGAGCAGATCGTCATTTGTTTGTGTCACTTCATCTGCAATTGCGAGCCGGCTGGAAATGTGTCCCCGAAGTATTTTCTATCAATTCTTATTTTTCCCAAATAATGTTCCATAAGAACCAAAGTATTTCAATTCTTATGACGACCTATCATCAGGATTTTCAGACTAGGAGCTTGCCTAATCAGACATGGAGATTGGGTAGTCTTCTAAGTAATTGGATCTTCCATTTGAGTTCCAAATGTCCAAGTCTTAAAACAAAATCGTCGATTTCTTTTTTGTCATTAGTACTTGTAGCTCGACTACTAATTATTGCTTTGCTTTTTGGCAAAGCTTTATAATGAGAAATGAATGAAGAATCCCAAAAATTTCGGAAAAGTCTTTACAACAGCTGACGATAAAGGTCTAGATTATCGCCCACAACCCCTTCGGGGGTGGGGGCAGGGGGGGTTGAAAGAAGAGGTCTTCCTGAGTAAACCACCATAAAAAGTTCGCGACGGTCTCACCCCCATCAAAGGGGGTGGGGGGATAATCTAGACCTTTACCCAGCTGAATTGTTTCGACCTGAAGATACCTACCAGCGTTTGATAAGGCAACAATTGCGGCGATAACGTACAATTTGTGTGAGCTTTTTTGCATTCTACATGCCAAATTTTCAAGCATAATTTGGAATTGTCTACAAATTGTGACTCAAAACACCTAGTCATAAAAGTCCCTAATACCTTCCGCCGCTCATTTTCAAATCAAAAAACAAAAGCTTGGTTTCTTGTTAGCTATTGTTTTTCTTTCTGGCAAAGCTTTATAACAAAATGGTCAAAGCCGTCTCTCTGATTGTGAATTATACGTTGAAAAAAAAAAGAAAATAAAACAAAACTGGCGCGCTTTTCGAACAATTGAATGTGCCGTCAGTCGACTGCCTACTCCTACTAGATCGCGGATAACAGACCCTGGATAACAACATTATACGACACGTTATAGAATCGCCTTTGGTTTAGGCGAAGCCGGCGGCCCGTCGCCGCCGCCGCCGCAAGCGGACATAAGTAGGTCAGTGGGCCACCCCTACTCTGCCGTCCCCACTCGCTTATACAGAGTCGGTGGCGTGCGCGGGTTCCACACTACTACGTAACACAATCCGCCGTCGTGTTTCTCGCGTTTGCACGATGCGTGTCTACGTACGGCGTTACCAAATCCTTACGTGTGTGTGTGGCGTATGACTTCACCTCGGTAGCGCGCTCTAACATAGACCTGGTTCATGGGAAAGTGGGTCAGCGGTCCCGCGAGCGTACAAGACACTTTCACTTATTACATGGGCTCCTAATCATTAACCATTGTATCCCCGTGCCGTGCAGTTTGTTAGTTGATACATAGTTTAGGGGACCGGACGCTGTTCGGACGAACGGAGTCTCACCGCAACTCCCGATCGCAAGTCTCGCCACCGAGGAAACAAACGAGCAACAGCCCGGTCAGTCAGTCCCTCTCGTGCTTTCCATGTCGGTAGAGGTGCACCATTATTATTGTTATTGTTGTTGTTGTTATTATTATTGATTGTTAGTTTGTTCAGTAGTTTTGTTGTTACAATAATAATAATAATTGATAGTCGTTGGTTGCTGTCGCTTCTTTAGTCCAACCAATAACAACAACAACCACCACCGATTCTCGTTTGTCAGTCCATCAACTGTTTTTGGACAATGTGCGCTTGTCGATCCTAGTTGTTAGTGTCCGTGGTGCGTGAAACAAACGAAGACCCCCGGCGGTCACTTGTTTTTATTAATTGGATTACTACCAACACCACTACTACTCTACTACTACTACTACCGCTGCTGCGGCTGATCCTGTTAGGATTACACCACACGCTTCTAGTTTATCTGCTGTCTGCCTGTTGTTTTTGGATAGTTACGTTTGTTTAACGATTGCGATGACTCTTTCGGCAATAGTTGTTGCTGTTAGTTAGTTTTGTTTCACTTTTTTTTGGTGTTGTTCCGAACGAACCACGGATGCTTTCGAATATACCCCGACATAACAATTGATGATCACGTGTGCAACTTGAAACGAACCGGGGATGTTGGATGTTTATCTGTTATTATCAGTAGTAGTTCCTCTTCTGTTTCTTCGTTGTGATCGTTGTAGATCCTAGATCTCTTTTCGTTTTTTTTTTTTTTTTTTGAATATTCTGACTGTTCCCTTTCTTGACCATAATCGTGGAGGGCATGACGGTGTCTTGACGTAGATTGTGTTTTTTTTGGAGATGTTATTGGACATGGAACAGCATTCGACTTTGCTGTCCCTGAACCCGTTTAACGGCACGAGTTCCACGGGATCTTCTTCGGCGGCTGTGACCGTTTCGGCGGTGACTTCGGCCCTTCAGGCCTCGAGTCCCATGCCGCCCCCTCTGTACGGGTCGCCGCCCCTCGGCGGCGTCTCCTCGTACAACATAAGCAGTTGCAGCCAGCAGAACATGGTGCTGCAACACCACCAGCAGCAACACCAACAGCAGCAGCAGCACCACCATCACCAAGATCATCCCCAACAGCAGCAGCAGCACCAACACCACCACCATCATCCCCATAACAGCTCGTTAATGAGCTACGGCGCTATGAGTAATATGGACACTTATTTGTTTTCCTCAGGGGCAACGGGATCGCTCGCTGGGATGGACCTGATGGCGGGATACCAGCTGCCGGGCAACTCGGTGGTCGGCGGAGGCGACCTTCCCGACACCAAGGACGGAATCGAGGAGTTGTGTCCGGTGTGCGGGGACAAAGTGTCGGGTTATCACTACGGCTTGCTTACGTGCGAGTCCTGTAAAGGGTTTTTCAAAAGGACCGTGCAGAACAAGAAGGTGTACACGTGTGTGGCCGAACGGAGCTGTCATATAGACAAGACTCAACGGAAACGGTGTCCGTACTGTCGGTTTCAGAAGTGTCTCGATGTCGGAATGAAACTAGAGGGTGAGTCATTTTTTTTTCTTTTCTTTTTTTTCTTATTTTTATTTCACGTTGTTACGCAAAGCTTGGAATTGTGGCCCAATTGTGGGCCACAACACCTAGTCACTAAAATACGTAATACCTTATGGTTTGTTTCCAAATCAAAAAGCAAAAGTTTGGTTTCTTATTTGTCATTAGTACTTGTAGACACTAACTTTTGTTTTGCTTCTTGGCAAAAAGCTTCAAAAAAGTCTGTACAATAACAGTTGAATAGGTTCTACCTTTTGATTGTTTGATAAAACAATCGATTGAAACAACTCGATTTGACGTTCTTCTGTTAAATTTTACTTAAAAAAAAATAAAGACCAAGTGCTTGACCCTTATTTGATTGCCTCTTGAAATGTATCAGAAAATTTTCTTTCTATCTGTTCAATATCCATAAGCGTCAGGAACCCCTCCGTGGAGGATAACTCGTGTATCAACAAAAATGTTTGGTATTCGCCCAATAAAATACAGCATAGAATTACTTGAATGTTATCTGTCAATTCAAAAATAAATAATTCCGATAACGCCCAAAACAGGTACATGAAGATATCATGGAAAATCTTCACCTTGCCCAAAATCTAAACAAACCGGATCCTTCATTTGTTAATCGTTCTTGGCCATATTCTATCATATAGATATTATGTTAATTAGTTATAATTAGTGATTAATTAGAGTACAAATCGAAAAAGCACCCGTTTGCACCTGATCAAGAGACTGCTGCTTGTTGCTTGCTGCAGTTTTTCTTTCTTTACTTGTTCGTAAATAGTCTGTTGATTGAATAGGACAAGTAGAAAAACTTTGTGGTCGGAATTGTAAAAAGCAAACGCTAATGTATAAAAACGCCCGTTTTTACTAGACACTCTGCCAAATGGGCCAAGGCCATCCGAGAAACCTATAAACCGCAAGCAGCGACGTTGCCGCCAGCTTGACGATATTTATCGCCTTTAGTCTAATATCATGATCAACTACCTCAAGTATTACTACGGTTTGTAGTCGTGTCTACGTCTACAAAGGTGTCGGATGACGTAGAAATTAATAAAAAAAAGATTGTCTTGTTTAACCCAATTTTCAAAATTACAATGCTCCTAGAATTTCTGGGGTCTTTGGTCGGTTCTTTTGGCGAACTCTTACCCGAACATACAAATATTAAAAAATTGTTAATTTTGTATTTGACTTATTTTTGATCACTTCAATTGTTAGGTAATAACAGTTGCCCCAGAAATGCGATATTCTTCTGATAGGTAACAGTTCAATATTTATCACTAATTTCTGGTGTAGTCATTTTTCACTCTAAATGATATTACGTTTTAGTCGATAAATAGTTGATTAAAGGGCAATGATTCATGCAAAAACAAAAAGAAAACGCGTTTGTTGCACTTTGCGTTATGCATTTTCGCAGACGTAAGTAAAAAACAAAAGAAATCGTTGACGTGGACGTAGCTGGTGGACCCCCAATTTTAATTAAAAATTCGTGTTTGTCGGTTGTTTAAAAAAAAAAAAAATTGAAACGGAAAATAAAAGACAATAGACAAAATTTATCGCCTCAGCTGCCGGTTTTTGTTTTATAAAGTAAATGTGTAAATATATTTTTAGGTTTGGTTAAAATTACAACGCTTAATAATACATGCACAAGCACATACGTATTTATATTAACGATGCTTCTAATTTTGAAGCATTCTTTCGAAAGACCACAAGTGTACGGTTGTCGAAAAAAAAAAAGAAAAAGAAACGAAACAAAACGTGCAAGCGTTTAAAACGACGCTGTGACAAACTGTCGGAGACATGCTTTATTACAGACGAAGTCCTACAATAGATCTAGGGTGAATATTATGTGACGAATGTGTATGAACCGACTGTCTGTTTAAACTTTAATGCATAATAATCAGAAGTACTACTTTTAGGGATAAATTTAATCCATTGATAAATCCCTAAATTTATCTACGATCGCGTAGGCGTGTACTACTTATTTGAATTTGCGACTATTTTGCTGACTATCACACCGTAGGTTCTGTGTTGCGCATATTTTGAAAAATTTAACTTTCGCTATTGCCACTTGTGCAACCGGCTGTGGGTGAGCAAGTCTTAATCCGGGCTCTCCATTTATTGGGCAACTGCAATAGAACACCTAGCGCTCTTACTTATCTCTTTGCCAGGTATTTTGCTTGTAATTTTATTATAAATTTTGTATTCATTATAAAAATGGACCTTTTTATCAAGTAGGTAGTTAGGTAGATACCTCTTGTAACTACCAGACAATCGAAAGAAAATGAGAATTCTTTTAAACTACTGGAAAAGCTCATTCCAATGATGCCCCACATGTTATAGTAACAAGTAAAAAAATTGCAACCCCATTTGATATATGGTTTAAAAACCTTGTTGAAACGTCCGAGAACGAAACCATCATGG